ACCCCCGTGGGGCTGCCCCCGGCCCCCCGCCCGCGCCCCGCGGAGCCCGCCCGCCTCAGCCGCCCGCCTTCTCTGCCCTCTCTGCCCGCAGGACTCGCTCAGCAGCAGCCTGAAGACCTGCTACAAGTACCTGAATCAGACCAGCCGTAGTTTCGCCGCCGTTATCCAGGCGCTGGACGGGGAAATGCGGTTAGTGGAGAGCCTGGCCCGGGAGACCGAGACCGCCTTTCCAGGGCCTGTGAGCCCCTGCAGCACTTTTTGACACAGCACTTGGCAGTGTGAGGCCTGTGGCTTAGAAGAAGGCACCCCCAACCCCCCCAAGTGGAGGCATGTCAGGGCTGTTTACTTGCAAATGCCAGTCCAGGCACCTGGCCCTTTAATCGGCCCTGCTGGCCAGCTCTTCCAGAGAAGGGGAATGGAGGGGGATGTTTGTTACCTTCTAAGTCCTGACCTTTTTCTTGGCCTCCAGTTTGTCACTTTGCATTTCAAGCCTACTGAGCCTTTAGAAGCCACCTGTGTGCATATAGCACTCATGTATATATGTGTATATAACACATGAGTGCATGGCAGCTGCTGTTGCTGTGATACCTTCATGCTGAGAAGTTTCTGTGTCCTTTGACCTTTCCATCTGCAAGATACTGGTTCACTTTAAACATCTGGCCTGTTGGACCCTCAGGTTGTGCATTAGATAAACAACTCATTGTAGGAGCAGTAGCACATCACTTTCTGTAATTAAACTGTAAAAGTCCCTTGTTCTCGGTTAAGACAGGAAAATGAATATAAGTGCTGTATGGCAGACTTTGGATATCATTTCATAGCTCTGTAATTACAGGTAAGGCAGCTTTACAAAATGGCCTGGCACATGGCAGAGTGTGGTGGCACACACCTTTAATCCCAGCACTTGGTCTGTTTCAGGCCAGCTGGGAGTACAGGGAGACCCTATCTCAAAAAGACCCCTCCTCCCCCAAAAAAGAAAGTGGCCTGGTACAAATTAAATTGTATTTTATTATTTAGTTAGTAAGTGGGTATTTTTTTGACATTCGGTTTCACTCTGTAGCTCACTTTGTCCTGAATTCAGGATCTTCCGGCCTCAACAGGCAAACACCATCTTGGTTTACACGTTATTTTAAAACGAAAATTTTTAAAATGAGGAGCTGATGAGATAGCTTAGCAGGTGAAGGTGTTTGTTGCCAAACCTGATGACCTGAGTCCAAATCCCAGAACCTACATGAGTATAAAAGGGAGAACTGATTCCCACAAGTTGTCCTCTGACCTCCACACATATGCTATGGCTATGTGTGCCCACATACACTACTTACATATACACTCACACATAAAATAAGTAAATAATTGTACAAATACATGTTTGCATTTGCATGAGTCCTGCCATGCATTGATAGCTTATCCTTTTCCACAGCCACGCGGTGTGTGTATTTTATCTGGTTCTCCGAGCTCTGGACACTGTGGAAGATGACATGACCATCAGCGTGGAGAAGAAGATTCCGCTGTTGCGTAACTTCCACACATTCCTCTATGAACCAGAGTGGAGGTTCATGGAGAGCAAGGAGAAGGATCGACAAGTGCTGGAGGACTTTCCCACGGTAGTGGAATTCCAAGTCTCTTCTGTACACTAGTTTATAATTGGCAGTGCAGTTGTTAGCCCACTGAGCCGTAGAGAAAGGCAGAAGTGACCATCAAGCATCATGGTGTGGTGGCTGAGCAGTCTGGCAGCTGAGAATGCAGCCCAGACTGTCTGGGTTGGAATCTAGCTTATTAATTAGTGTGTTAATTGGTATACAGGCCCTCTCTACCTCCGCTTTCTCTCATCTGTGTAAGAGACATAGACAATAACAGTTCTGCTTTGTAGTGTCATTAGTATAGATGTATCTCCTAGACAGCATGGCCCCTGTGGCTGATGTCCTTACCACCTCCAGACTGGTTCACACATGCTGTTGATTGGTGTATCCCACAGGCATGAGGTGGGCAGCTTGGGATTGCTGTTCTGCATGGGTCACCCCTGAAGGGAAGGGAGTGGGCTCCTGTTTAGCAGCTGAGATGAAGACTGAGTGGTGGTATGGTGGCTTTTTGCCACTTGCAACTAGCTGTACTGTTCTTGGCACAATCTTTTTCTTTCTTTTTTTTTGTCTTTTTGAGATAGGGTCTTCCTATAGCCCCAGCTGTCCTAGAACTCACTATGTAGACCAGGCTGGCCTTGAACTCACGAAGATCTGCCTGCCTCCACCTCCCAAGTGCTGGGATTAAAGGCATGCACGCGCCACCACACCCAGCCTTTCGCACAGTCTTTCATTGCTTTGTAACCCTATCCTAATCCAAAAAGTTAGAGCTATAGGAATTGGGTAATTTCATACGTATAAAATACTTGGATGAGGGACTGGAGAGATGGCTCAGAGGTTACAAGCACTGACTTCTCTTGTAGAGGACCCAGGTTCAACTCCTAGCACCCACATGTGGCTAACTCTTTAACTCCGGTTCCAGGGGATCTGACTCACTCTTTTGACCTCCATGGTATTGCGTGACACAGGTCCACTTACACACATGCAGGCAATACACTTATACACATAAGGTAAAATAATAAATAAAATATTTTAAAGTACTTAGATGAGTGTCTGGTACATACTAAATGTTGTGTATTAGCTCTTGATCCAGCCTCTGGGTATAAAGTGGGTCATAGTTATACCCTGAGTTTAGAGGCCCTAAAGTTTATGCTGAACACATGCTTTACTCCTCCTTTTCTAGAATTCACACATCCAGCAAAATCACATGGTCCCTAATCTCCCAAAGAAGACCTTTTTGTACACAGTCGCAGAGTTTTGGGTGAATAGTCCTTAAGGCTTTGCTATGAAGTAAATCTAATCTGTACATCTGAGTGGGAGGGAGCTGAGTAGACAGAGGAGAGTCTGCCCATTGCAGACGGTCTGAGAAGGACTCCTTTGGGCAAGGGCTGTGTGATTTCTGAGATGACATCTTCAGAACTGTTGTGACTCAAAAGTAAGAGTCTGTGAGGACTGGGAGAGGAATTGGAGCCCTGACCTGGGGAAGGCCCTGGTATGTTGGTGTCCCCAAGGCACCTGATGACCCAGGACAGGGTGGAAATTCACTGATGAGCCGTTGAACCCTGCTAATATAGATGAAATGCTGTGAACAGTGGTTTCATCTTTCTTACAGTGGAAATGCCCTGATTTTCCGTGTGTTCTCTCTGCAGTGGTGAGTATGGAACCCAGGGCCTTGTGCTTACCAGACAGACTTGCCATCACTGTTTTGTGTCCTTGGCTGTCTTCTTTTTATTTTGATAAGTTCTCAGTGATTTTCTTAGACCAACCACGAAGTCACTTTGTAAACCAGGCTGCTTTGAACTATGATCCTCCTGCTTCAGGCTCCTAAGTGGCACTACCAGGCTTAACTCCCAAACTACTTTTGATGCAAGTAGATTTGTACTGTTTAAATAATTTCTGGTCATGGGATACTTATCTTAAAGTGTCATAAAAAATATCAAGGTAGCCCTGGCTACTCAGCAAAAATGAGAGAACACAAAAATGAGGAAACACTAAAAGCAATTTGAGGGGAGTGAGGTAATTTTCAGATCCTAGTCCAGTATGTTTATAAAGTCTCAGTCCAATTTTATGCATATAGCATTTTAGTGGAATAGTGATACTTTGCTTTGGAAAGGTTCAAAGGTGAGCATTAAATTGATCTTTTCCTGTTTGAGCAGGAGGGCTGGGAAGCAGAACTCCCCACAGAATGAAAGGGAGCAGAATGTAGGCCAGGGGTCAGCTTTGTTGTCAACTCTGTGTCTCCTGATAATATGAAGCCCAGTGAAGCTCTGTTTTGTACTTGAATGGGAGGTCATCTCTGATTCAGCCTAAAACAGGAGTGTGTGGAAGTGAGCATGCCTACCCTCTGAAGGAGTGATTTGTGCAGGGATCATGTAGCCCAGCTTCCCCTTAAAACCCTGCACAATTTAAAAGGCAGCTAGTTACCTGGGGTTAGATGTGCAGGCAGGACCCAGGTCAGGACAGAGCAGTAGCTTGAGGGGTCAGGGGCCTGACCTGGTGCTGCTCTTACAGGCAGAGGCTTTCATTCTAAAGGCCCACTCTGGCTTTCTCACCTTTGAAGAGATCATGGAAAGATGCTTGACTAGATCTTACGTACCTCCCTCCCAGACTGCTCTGTTCGCTGGACTCCCATGTCTGCATTTATCTGAGCTCATGGTCCAGGTCTGCACAGCCAGTTTCTTCAAGGCTATTTCCTCCAACGTAGAACCTGCCACCAATGACTGTGCCTGATTAGGTCTGAAGAGTGGCCAAAGGCTGTGTTTGGAAAGGTTGAAGATGAAGCCTGGCCTGAGATGCCTTTCTGTAGGAGCATGGGGTCCCTCCTAGTGCTGGATGAGCTAGAACAGGAAGGAAAGGTTGCCGAGGTTTTTGTTTGGAAAAAAATTATGAGGTACCATTTAACATTCAAACCTGAATGGTCCAGGTTGTTACAAAGGTATGTTTGTCAAGAGGGCAGATAAATATACATTAATGAACAAGTTATTAACTCAGTTGATTAAATTCTTTGCTACATGTGATATGTGGGCCGCCACTTGAACCCTCTGTATTTGACACAGTCCATCCCCAGAGACTGAACCTGGTCCCTTGTGTTTCTCCTCTGCCTTTGTACGTTGGGATTAAGGTGTATGTCGCCACCCCTGACTTACACTTTATTCAGCAGGCAGGCCACCTAATGTGTAGTGTACCTGCATGTTTACATTTTTACATAGATGAAACCATGGCTTGAAGAAATTAAGTTCCTTGCCTAAACAGAGAATCAGGATTGGAGTCCAGGAGGTCGGGTCCAGGATCCTTGTACATACTTATGGGCCTGTTATACTGCCTCTTCAAAAGCTGGTGTCTGGGTGAGGTGACACAGGCCTCCAATGCCAGCACTTGGGAGGTAGGTGGAGGCAGAAGGATCAGGAGTTTAAGCGTTAGCTACATAGTGAGTTTGAGGCTAGGCAAGGTTCTATGCAAACTTGTCTCAGAAGAGGGGGGAAGGGAGAGAAAGAATTAAGATAGCACATGTGGTGGTACACATCTGTAATCCCAGGAGGTAAAGGCAGGAGGAACAAGAGTTTGAGGCCAGCCTGGGTATCATAATGAGACCCTGTCTCAAAAAGGAAGGGTAGGGGACTTAAAACAACAAGAAAACGCCCAGTGTTTTGATGGTAATCTCCAAGGCCTTCAATAAGGGGAGAAGTCTGTGTTTGGAAGTTAATTGGGAGTGCCGTGATCCCTTGCCCAGTTTGTATCTGGCCTTTATTGTCCCAGGAGACTCATCACCATATTGTGGCTTCGTGTCCTTAGCAGTGGGTACCAAGTGATCAGGGGCCTGGAGTGTGCCGTGCTTGTGGCTCAGTCCCTTGCACGTGGAAGGAGCCTTCCTGGTGGGCTTCCTGCAGCAGAGCCTTGGAGTTCCCAGAAAACAGACCTCTTCCTTGTTTCTTTTTCCTGGATATTTTCATTTTCGTTTGCTTGAATTACTTATGTACTGTGTTCCAAAAAGCTGTGTTGAAGATGATGGGGTGACCTATTTTGGAGTGTTTGTTTTCCTGCCCTTGTTGGCCTGCCCTAAATAGACTTGGTATAGCCACAGAGTAGTGTGTTGCAAGAAGCAGGGTGGTTCAGGGATTCAGATAACTCCCGGGAGAGTGGCTAGTTGGTTTCAGTCCACCATAGAGACTGCCTTTTGGCTTTGACGGGGAGCAGCTGTCCTAGAAAGAACAGAGTTCTGGGAAGACTAGCTTGATTTTATGGAATTTTCTTTTGAGGGGGGCACTAATAGTTGGTGTTCAGAGAGTTCTGACAGGATCCCAGGCTTCTGAATTGCTGCGGTGCTCTGGGACCACTGGTGTGCCCTTCCCGAGCAGTTTCTGTAACTTTGTGTGAACACAGCTCTCACACATGCTGGTTTAGTTTCACAGTACTTGTGTTAGTTAACATCTCATAGCCTTTATGAAGTTTGATGGAGGAACAGGGTGTGGTGAGGCACCTGAAGGGAGCCTGAGGCAGGAGGGTTGTCAATTAAAAATCAACTGGGGCAGCTTAGTGAGATTTCACCTCAAAAACAAAAATTCCATTGTATTGTTACATTTTGATAATTTGTAAACACCTCTTTGAGCTTAAGATGCTTGTACAGGGGCAGTAAATTTCACAAACAGTACTGCTTTTCTAGGTGATCTCGTGCTTATAAGGAAAACAGCTTATTGCAGCAGATCTCATTGAATCCAGTTGAGCCATTTGAGTCACTTATGGGTGTGGCTTTGGAGTGAGCGGGACACTGGCTTCATGAACAACTTGGGGAACCTGGCTGACGAACAGAAGTGGCTGGCTCATCTCACTGGCCTGTGAGCTCTGCAGGGCATGGGTGTCTGCTTGGTACCGTGTAAGTGGATAATACTGTTTTCCTTTTTTGTGGTTTCCATTTCAGATCTCCCTGGAGTTTAGAAATTTGGCTGAGAAATATCAAACGGTGATTGCTGACATCTGCCACAAAATGGGATGTGGGATGGCAGAGTTTGTGGATAAGCATGTGACCTCCAAACAGGACTGGGACAAGGTCAGTGTCCCTGTGAACAGGATCCACATGTAGTATAAGTTAGACTCTAGCCGTCCTTTGGTGAAGCTTAGGATGAGGACAACGTTGTCTGCCAGAGCTGAGTTTCTGCTTTTACCAGTATCTGTTTAGGTTGACTGCACTCTTACACTACTTATGGGCTTAAAGGTGATGCTCTCAGTGATAGCGTCTGTGCCCTAGAGCACCTACTGTTAAACAAGGCCAAAATGATTCAGTTGTTTCAAAGGTACAGACCCTGAGTTTATAAAATTGTCTCTGGCTCTGAAATTTTAGGTAAATGACTAAATCATTTCATGTGATAGAGAAATATCAATAGTGCCAGGCGTGGTAGTGCACGCCTTTAATCCCAGGACTCAGGAGGCAGAGGCAGGTGGATCTCTTGAATTTGAGGCCAGCCTGGTCTACATATAGTGAGTTCCAGGCCAGCTGGGACTACAGGGAGACCCTGTCTCAAAAAGACGAAAGGAAGAAAGGAAGGCGGGGAGGCAGGGAGGGAAGGAAGGAAAGAAAGAAGAATCAATAGTTTCAAACGTTAAAAACAGTGTATTTTATTTTCATTATGGGACATTTCTGAATGTGTGCATGCTTTAGTGTGTGAATTATCTGAGTCTTTCTTTAAATACTTTTATTTATTTTGTGTGTGTGTGCGTGCACATGTGCATGTCATGCATAAAAGTGGAGGTCGGGCTGGAGAGATATCTCAGTGGTTAAGAACACTGGTTGTTCTTGCAGAAGACCCGAGTTCAAATCTTAGCACCCACATGGCAGCTAACAACTGTCGGTAACTCCAGTCCCAGGGGATCTGACCACCTCTTCTGACTTCCGCAGGCATTGCATGACATGGATACACTTACATACATGCAGGCCATACACTCATATGCATAAAATAAAAATAATACATAAAATTTTAAAAAGTGGAGGTCAAAGGACAACTTCCCAGAGTGAGTTCTCTCCTTTTACCATGTGAGTACCAGGGATTGAACTCAGGTCCTCAGGTTTGGCAATAGCTGCCTTTACCCATTGAGCCATATTGCTGGCCCTCTTCTCTTCTTTTTGACGGGGTTTCATGTAGCCCAGGCTAGACTTGAACTCACTTGAGAATAACCTTGAACTTCTGCTCTTCCTGCCTCTACCTCCTAATGCTAGGTGCACCACCATGCCTGGTTTATGTGGTGCTGGGAATGGAACACAGGGCTTCATGCATGCTAGGCAAGTACTCACTGTGCTAACTGAGCTACAGCCTCTGCCCTGTGTGAGGCATTTGTGATTCATTTTAGCATAAGATGACTTTTGAGCTTGATGCCAGCTTGGCTTATTCACTTGAGATTGAGCAGTTATGTGTCCATTTTCTTAGACATGACAGCTCGAAAGACCCCAAAGGATTGCGGGTGTGATACTGAGGTATGAGCACCTCCCTAGTTCTTATCTCCTCTGTCCTCAGTAAATACAGCAGTTGGAGGCTGGGGCTGTAGCTCAGTGGTAGAGTGCTGGCCTTGCCTGCCTGAGACCCTAAGTTTGATCCTTTTGCCAAAAAAGAGAAAAGATAAAGGACACTTGGAGATGTATCCAAGTTTTTGGTGCCTTCTTTTTCAAATGGCTGGGAAGTTCAACCTGGAGAGCCTTCTTCCTGTATCCTAGCATGGCCAGAGAGGCAGAGAGAGCAAAGGAGCAGGAGATGGAACTCCCAGCCTCAAGCTTCTTTGTAATCCACACTAATCCATTTATGAGGGCAGAGTGCTTATGGCCTAAACATCTCCCTCAGTGTCCCCAGCCCCAGCGCTGTTAGACTCGAGACTGTTTGTTCCCAGTGCTTGCTTCTAGGGCAACACACTGGAACCACAGCAGCTTCTGATGAATGGGTGGGGGCTGAGATTTGAGAGAAGTCCAGCCCTGTGGGTGAGGTGTGTCTTCCTCAGGAGAGCAGGGAATGGAGCAAACACAGTTATAATGACTTGTCTAGCCAGTTTCTTCCTGACCAGCAGCTGTGTAGGATGTAAACCAGGTTAGGAGTTGTTGGGCTGCAGCAAAATGCTCATCTAGACCAAGGGACCAGAGACAGGAGTAGAGTGACTTGCTCATTTTCTATGGGAAGTGTTCAAGAGACCTATTTGCTGACGTTTTAAATCCCTAAAGAGAGTGTGTTTTGTGTCTCTTACAGTGCTGAACTGACAGGGGCTCTTGACACGTTCATTGAGTCAGTATGAGTCCAAGCTCTAGGCCATTCAATTCAAGCCTTAAAACATGATGGGCTGGACTTGGGATGTGGCTCAGGTCCCAGGCTCTGTTCTCACCACCACAAAATAAATTTGAAAGGAACATTTCACGGGAATAACTTTGGAATTGCTGCTTCTCCTGACCAATTTGGTAAATGTGTGATTGGTGCTAGAACCTCAGTTTCTAAATTTTGAGGTAAAGTTAAAAGTCCTGGCCAACTCTCAGCATGGCTCATTCAATAGCAACTCATTTTCAGAAGTACAGAGCTGTTTAGGAAACACCATTGTAGATTATTCTGACCAGATAGTTTCCCTTCAACTTTGAAGGCAAATGAATTTATGTGGATCTCTGTTCTAGAAGTGTTTCTATCCAAAGAACTATTATCTTTTTTTATTTTATTTATTTTTTGGTCTTTTTGAGACAGGGTCTCCCTGTAGCCCCGCTGGCCTAGAACTCACAGCGATCCACCTGCCTCTGCCTCTCGAGTGCTGGGATTATAGGCATGCACCACCACGCCTGGTTTAGAAATATTATCTTAAAATATAATTTTTTCTTAGTGCTATAGATGGACACTCCCCCCCCCCAATTTCTAGACTATAGAAATTTCATGTAATGATCAACAGCTATTTTTAAAAAAATTGTGTGTGGGCTGGAGAGATGGCGCAGAAGTTAAGAGCACTGACTGCTTGTGCAGAGGATGCAGGTTCAGTTCCCAGCACCTACATGGTAGCTAGCAACTGTCTGTAACTCCAGTTCCAGGGAATCCGACACCCTCTTCTGACCCCAGTGGGCCTTGCACAACACAGGTACACTTACCATTGCAGGCAATACACTCATACACATAAAATGAAGAAAAATGATAAATAAAAACTGGGTATATGTGCGGCCTGCTTATATGTGCACCATGTATGTATAGTGACTGAAGAGGCCAGAGAGGGGGGTGTCAGATCCCCTAGATCTGGAGTTACAGGCAGTTATGAGCCGCTTGATTTGAGTGCCAAGAATCGTTAAACCCATGTCCTTTGTAAGAGCAGCAAATGCTCTTAACCACTGAGCCATCTCCAGTCCCAACAGCTTTTTTTCCTTTGGTATTATGGTTTGTGTGTGTGTGTGTGTGTGTGTGTGTGTGTGTTAATGTTATGTTGAGGCAGAGCCTCTCAGTCACATGCTGCTTTTCCAACATGGCTAGTTTTACTGACTGGCTTCTGAGGCAGACGACCTTGCCTATCCAGCATTTGCCTGGGTTCTAAGACCCCAGCTGTGGCCTTGCTTGTGCAGCTTGTGCGTTAACCACTGGGCCATCTCCTCTGCCCCATAACTAATTTTTCTCCACTTGGTTTCAGCTCATTTTCCCTCGGTGACAGTTGAGGTGTTCTCATCACTTCCTGTGTCCCTTAATGAGCTCTGGCCTTGTACGACTTCACTCAGGGGTTCTTTATCCCGTCTCTGCCTTGCTTTTCATCCTCTCTGTGTTGCCTGCTAGACCTTCATTGTACTAAAAGTGTTGCATTAAGTTGTCTAGGAATACCCCTTCTGGTGGGGAGATGCTTTCTGGGGAAAACAGTTCTTTGGCAATTAAACATTGTATTTTCTAAAAATCTTGATGAGACCTTTTTAGAAATGTTTGAAGGCTCGATTCATAAGTTGTAACACTTTCTTAGCCAGAAATAATGGCATGCCTCTGTAATCCCAGCTACTGTGGATGCTGAGGCAGAAGGATCACAAGGTTGAGACCTGCCTGGTCTACAAAGTGAGTTCAAGGCTAGCCTGGCAATTTGGTGAGATCCTATCTCAAAATAAAATTTTCTTTAAAGAGCATGGCCCTTGACTTTCCATATGAGGGACCACGGCAAGGTAATTGACCTCTATGTGCTGTCGTCTCTATGCAATGGAGGTGAAAACATCAGGTCCTGTGGGTGTTTGTGTGTGTGGATTAATGCATGCAGAGTGTTCACAGGTGTGTCAGGAGCATGATGGTAGAGATCTTAAATGTATTCTTTACATGTACACGTGTGGTTTAATCAAAACAAGAACTCATGTTCTGTTCCAGACCCCGTTCTTTGTAGCTGAAGAGGCTCAGCACTGCTGCATCCCTGCCGTTTCTAAAGGACTTTAACAATAATCTTTTGCAGTATTGTCACTATGTTGCTGGGCTGGTAGGAATTGGTCTTTCTCGGCTGTTCTCGGCCTCAGAATTGGAAGACCCCTTAGTTGGTGAAGACACAGAATGTGCCAACTCGATGGGCCTGTTTCTGCAGAAAACAAACATCATTCGTGATTATCTGGAAGACCAACAAGAAGGAAGAGAGTTCTGGCCTCAGGAGGTGTGGATGGGTGATGGGGGCGGGGGCAGTGTCAAACCCTCTCAAAAATATCTCATTAAACTCATGCCTGAAAGTGACCTGAACAAGTCAGACTAACTTGGGCAGTGTTAGACCATACAGCCAAGGCCAGGGTTTCATTTGCTTAATGAAGAGACGGCTAGATCAGGGACTCTGGCTATGTGAATGGCTTTGGCCTCTTTCTTTCTCTGGATAGACTTCCTACAAGTCAGGTATATCCAGGGTACACTAAACCACCCAGCTCTCAGGAAGGGCTTGTGAAGCTTTGCCCTGAATTTGTTTCTGTAGCTGTAGGTTGAGTCTTCTGACTACAAACTGCATTAGTTTTGCCCGGCACACGGAGGATGGATTAGCTTGAGAAGTCTGTGGCAATAAGGGAGAGAAGGAGTTGCAGGTGTGGCTCAGCGGTGTCCCACATGCTAAAGATGAGCAGGCCCGCTCAGTGGTAGAGCACTTACCAGCAGGAGTGATGCCCTAAGTTCAGTCCCCAGCATTTCGGGGCAGGGAACCTTACCCTTTGGGGATCATTATGTATGGATAAACACATAAATCAGGGCTTTGCTTTAAAGTAATCCATCAGTAGGGATATGGACTTAACAAAATTCATCATGTGTCAGTAATTGTTGAAGTTGGATGGTAGGTACACTGGTTGGCAACTATTTTCTTTCGGTTCTGCAGAACAATCTAATCTAGTCCCTTCATTCTGGGTGAATTTCGTTGGATATTAAGAACGGATAGCAAATTTGGCTTTTAATAAACTACCTTAGCTGCCCTTTCAGGCTTCCTCAGTTCAAGGCCTGTATCAAGTTACACTAAGCGTTGTTATCAGGAAGCTTACGAATCAAAGTTGGCTCAGTGGTTAAGAACACTGGTTGTTCTTGCAGAAGACCTGGGTTTGAATCCCAGCACCCACATGACAGCTAACAACTGTCCATAACTCCAGTTCCAGGGGATCCGACAGCCTCTTCTGACCTCCACGGGCTTTGCACAGTACTGGTGCACTTACCTATATGCAGGCGATACACGCATACACAAATAAAAATAATAAAATTTTTTTAAAAAAAAGAATCAAAGTTATTTGCTAACTTCAGAGAACCCTCTAGATAGTATCATTTAAAATCATCAAGCTAGGGGCGGAGAGATGGTTCAGTACTTGCTTTTTTAGAGGACCTGAATTCAGTGCCCAGCACCTATGTCAGACAGCTCACCAACCACCTATAACTCTAGCACCAGAGGATCCAGTGTGGGCACCCACATACATGTGGTGCATGCACACGCACGCACACGCACACACACACAAAACCATAGATGCATATATACATAAATTTAAAAAAAATCCTTTTTAAAAAAATTTTTTTATCTTAGGTGTATGAGTGTATTGCTTGCATGTGTTATGTGCACACATGTTGGGAAGTGCCTGCAGAGGACAGAAGAGGGCTAGGGGTTCCCTGAAACTGGAGTTAGGATTGTTAGCTCCTGTGTGGGTGCTGGGAATCTAACCCAGGTCCTACAAGATCAGCCAGTGCTCTTAACCACTGAGCCATCTCTACAGCTCCCAACTTCAAACAGTCTTGATCTCTGTGAAAGATGAGTCAGTAGCAGAGGTTTTACTGTATAGCAGAGTTCCCATTTGAGAAGGTGCTGTTTGGTATGGGGATGGATCCCAGGCCTTGGGCTTGCTAGGCATCCATGCCTGTGTTCCATTCATGCTTGTGTTCTACGCTGAGCCATGTCACAGCTCCTGAGGAAATCCCTTGATGTGTCATTTATAACCCCTCTGCCTGTTCACCAACTGACTTGTTCTTTAATCATCCCATCTGGCCAGGTTTGGGGCAGGTATGTTAAGAAACTGGGAGATTTTGCCAAGCCAGAGAACATTGATGTGGCTGTGCAGTGCCTGAACGAACTCATAACCAATACCCTGCACCACATCCCCCATGTCATTACTTACCTCTCAAGGCTCCGGAACCAAAGTGTGTTTAACTTCTGCGCTATTCCACAGGTATGGAGAGGGGCTGAAGGAGTGGGTGTGGGCAGGGGTAGGTAGACTGATCACAGTCATGCTCTGCTGTCCTCAGGGCAATGTTTCTTAAGAGAATGATGCTGCTTAGGAGTAGGTAGGTAGTCACAGCATAGTCTTAGCACCGCATTCAAAACAAGGTTAATTCTACTGCTTTCCAGAACCTTCCTTCTGGATTTTTCCATCAACAACTACCTAGATCCTTAGCTCACAATTAAATCTGGGGCATCAGTGTACATGACAGAAGAGTGCACGATAGAACTTGGCTGAGGCTGTAATCATTAGAAAGATCTTAGGCCAGTGAGACGGCTCAGCAGGTAAGAGCACTGGCCTCTGTCTGATGACCTGACTTTGATCCACATGGTAGGAGAGAAAGAGTGGACTCCTGCAAGTGTCCTCTGACCTCCACACACCAATTAAATAAGAAAATGTAGTAAAGGTCTTCAGTTATGTTTTCCTTTTCCTAGAGCCAAGACAGCAAAGCCTGGTCCTGTAGACGTAGCTTCTCGACATTCTTACATTTGTTACTCCCTTTACCAATGATTTCTGTTATTAACAAAAGTGACTGAAGCCAGAGGGAGGAATTAACTCACTTAGAACGTTGGTTTTATCTTGTTCTAACGACCAGCATTAAATGGTGCTCCAGACTAAAATCTGTATGCCTGTTTTAGGTCTGTTCTAAAAATAATTGACTTTTGAGTACAGGAAATCATCTGCCCTTCTGCCATTCTCCTCTCTTAAGTTTTTAAATAAATAATGATTATGTTCATTAAAGAAAAAACAGAAAAATAAAATAAAAACTTATTTGCAGATATTTTGAATCATATTTCTCTTCTAGTAATTCACTGCTTTAGTATGGGAAATGTTGGATTTACTTGTTTGTGCTTTGTGGCTTAATGATAGAGTAGTAGTTTAACCCTCCGAGACACTTGACTCCATGCTGTTGAGAACCGGAGGGATAGGAAGGTGAAAGTGTGCTGCTCAGCTCTCAGAGGAGCTGCTTCTGGGCTGGCATCATTTGTTAACATCGGTGAACTGAGTTAATTCCCCTCTCTCCTGTTGGCCGTAGGTAATGGCCATTGCTACACTAGCTACCTGCTACAATAATCAGCAGGTGTTCAAAGGAGTAGTGAAGATTCGGAAGGGGCAAGCTGTTACCCTAATGATGGATGCCACCAACATGCCAGCTGTCAAAGCCATCATACACCAATACATAGAAGAGGTGGGTTTTTTTTTTTAATTATTTAATAACCACATAATTAGAAGAAGCATTTCATTACAACACCATTGACATATTCAATAACAATTTCCAGAGCTAAGATGCATCTCTTTCAATACTGGCTGTAAATTTTTAGGTTTTCAGTTGAATTAATATAGTTACACAATATTGTACTCAGTATAAACCCCATAAGACATAAAATTAAGTGAGGTTTTAACCTTTAAAAAGATCTCCATTTCATCTTAAAATACACTGTTTCATACAGAAAAAGTCATTTTTAATGCAACTAACACTTAGATGTTTGCAAATGTGTCTCTAATCTCTATATATCTCATTATTACTAGTTATAGTCAGTTACTTTCTGAGCTCCTTGACCTGAGCATGGCAATAAAGTCATCAGGTAGATTTCAGTGGTAATGTCTTTCACATTTACTAATTAACATGAAGCAAATTTTCATCCTCCTTCCTCAAATATGACTCATTTTTTTAATTTATTGATTTTTTTTGTGTGTCTTTCATAAGGAACACGCCAAACAATCTTATTCATCTATATACCCACATCCCAAGTGGCACCCTCCCTTAGCCCACCCCCTTGCCCACTGGAGCCCATATACTCTGTCATCCCTTGTTACTGTCCACTGTGTTGTTGGTGCCCCCAGCCATTCCCCAGTGCTTGTCCATCCCCTGAGTCTAGTCAGCCTATCTAGAGGTCCTTGTTTTAGGAAGATCAGCTGTTCCTTGTCTAGCAGCAATCAGTTGCCAATATTCCTTTAGATAAGATTGGGGTCTGCTGTTCATTTTCCCAGTTCTATGCTGGGTTACTGTCTAGGAGTCTCTTGGGCCACCCTGGCCAACAACTCAAAGGAGGGTATCTCCTGTATGGCATTATTTCTTGTTATGTAGCCTTTAGCCATACACATGGACTCTTAAAGAATTATATTGATCCCTTTAATCTTTAGTTATACTTTCCTTTTGGGTGTTTAAGACCATGCAGTTGGCCCAGATAAACCAATTTATTTTTATTCTTAAGGTCGTTTGAGGATCTATTCCTCAGGGGTCACATGGGCTTGGGAGGAGCCCCTGGCACCTTTCTTTTACCAGTTCGTCTATGTGAAGATAAGTTAAAGGTCGTGCTCGACCATGGCTGGCTTCGCTTGGAAGCATGGAGGAAATGTTTCCTCTGTGTTGACCCTCCTCTTTGTAGACTGGACACTGGTTTAAGTTCATCTGGTGGGGTCTCCACAGCCTCCTTGATCAAGAGGACAGGTGACTTAAACCACAATTACAGGACATTTTGAGAGATGCTCATAGTCCCCTGGAGCCTAGTTGACCTAGGAGCAAAAACTGTCCTTTATGTCCCTCTGACCAAATTAGTATAGGCCTCAAAGTATGGCTGTTAAACATCCAAGAAGATTAGTTCCACCAGTCTGGTACTTTAAATTACCATGTGCTGTATAGATAAAGCTTGGGCAAAGACCAAAGGTTCTCAGATAAACCTTGACTAGATATATATTATGTTCCTTGAGCTAGTTGTATGTATAATTTGTTAATAGGTTGATGGAGTAATATGGTTCCCTCTTTTTTGTTGTTGTTGTTTTTTTTAAACTATCTAGGCATTATTTATCTCTTGCATTGTCTAACCTTTCCACTGTGGTTTCCCTATTTAAGGTGCCCTCATTTTTCCCATCTCTCCCTTGATAATACCCTTCTCCTATGGTCCCACCTCTCTTGAGCTCCTCCTTTTCCTTTATCCCCTAGGTTCCTTGTATAACCCTCCCCCCACTTAGGATAACTCCATTTTTATCCATATCTCCCTTATTAACACCTGTTTCCTACTGTTCTTCTCTTTCAGAGTCTTTCTATTTCTTTACCTCCCTGGTTCGTTTTCATTATCCTGGTTCCTGTAGTTATGTCTGGATACATATACATAAGGATTTAGTGCTAAGATCTACATATGAGGGAGAACATATGTTGTTGTTGTTGTTGTTTTCTGAGTCTGTGTTACTTCACTGTGTAACAGTTTCTAGTTCCACCCATTTACCTGCAAAATTCATGATTTCATCTTTCTTTACTGCTGAGCAGAACTCCATCGTACAAATGAACCACATTTTCATCATCCACTCATCAATTGAGGGACACTTAGGTTGCTTCCATCTCTTAGCTACTGTGAAAAGAGCAGCAACAAACATGGATGTATAAGTGTTTCTGCAATAGGATGAGTTCTTTGGGTATATGCCAAGGAGTGGTATAACTGGGTCAGGTGGTAGGTTCATTTGTAGTTTAGTTCTCCACACTGCTTTCCATAGGGGTTGAACAAGTTTGCAGCCCCACCAGCAGTGGATGAGTGTTCCCTTTTCCCCACATCCCCTCAAACATTTGGTGTCCTTTGTTTTCTTGATCTTAGCCAGTCTGACTGGGGTAAGGTGAAATCTTAAAGTGGTTTTAATTTTCATTTCCCTAATTATTAGTGATGTTGAACATCTTTTAAGATGTTTCATAGCCATCTTTACTTCTTCGTTTGAAAACTTTCTGTTCAGCTCCTTAGCCCATCTTTCAATTGGGTTGCTTCTTGTTTTGGGTCTCTGTTTTTCAAGTTCGTTATATATTCTGGTAATTAAACCTCTATCAGATGTATCGCTGGTGAAGATTTTCTCGTGTTCT